ATAACTATTAACAAAATAACAACTGTACATTGGTAAACTAATCTCACGCTAGGACTTACGACAAAATTCCTATCAATCTCCAATGTTCCTGGCAGTACTAGCTACTAGATATAGCATAAAGCTTAACCTAGTCTCAAACTAGAATAAATACCAATCTCCCATCCTACAGTAGCAAAGCAAGAGTAAACACTTTGCATCACTGCTGGTCTATCTGCATCATTAGTTAAAGTCAAAGGTTATTCATTAAACATTGGGCAAATTGTAAAAACCCTCAGCAATGGTGCAGGTTAACTATGTTGTGGCTGGCCACTTCTTGCTATCCAATTGCTACATTAAAAAAGTAAAAATAAATAAATAATAATCCCTATGGAGGTTAATAAGACCACCATATTACTACAATCGAGGTTTTTCCACCAGCCATTCCTGCCCAGGCACTAGAAAGACCCCATCCTATAGGGATATGACTTGTAAAAAGGCTCAAGTCCCCAGCCAGTGATGGTGGATGAGAGCGCCAATAGTAGTTTTCTGAGGAGGATTCTACCTGAATCTATGGCCATTGTACACACACCAAAACTGCCATTGCCACCAGATGTATGGTTAGGGGTACCCCATTACCTAGCCACCCCCTTCAAATACATAAACCCTACCTGACCGCTTCACCCTGATTGTGAGAAGGGCCATTAAAACTAATACCTTTAAAATAAAGTTTTATTTCATGCAAGTATTTTTACCTTCAGCCCCAAAAGAGGCCAAATAAAAAAGGAGTTTTAATTATATGCTACAGTTCAGATTTTTTCTAAATAATATTAGACTCACATGGGCCTGTATTTGCAGCATTCAGGTCCAGATTTCATCTGTCTGGTGGCCTTCTGTCTGGTTGAAATCTGGACCTAAATCAGGCTGGTTTAGAGATTAAACTGAAAAATATGGACATTGTTAAATTGCATTGAAAATATTTTACAGTGCAACTCGCCCTGTACACTACCAGATGGTGTTGTCTCATTTGCTATAGGGCCATTCAGGCCTAGAAATATAGTTGTTTTATTGCTCCTCTTCGGTCACTTTACCTGACATTTAGTAACTGTTCCCTACCCATCAAACATCTTTATTTTTGCTACCTTTTGATGGGACAAGAGATTCAGCTCACTACATTATTAGTCAGTCCATCATGACAAAGTAAGCTGCATATTTGCCCCATTGAAATGGTTAAAATGGATTTAGTGGTCTTTCACTAGGCTAAAGCCAGCTCTGACCAGTTTATTACAACATAAGGTTTCTAGATAAAAAAAAAATAAAAATAAAAATGTGCAGTTTGTCACGTGCACCAAACTTTCTAGAAGTAAGAAAAGCAATCTTCCTCATGATAATAACTTTTTTATGTAATATGATTGGACAAAATGTCTTAACATGTTTGCTTAATATGCACACCCCTTATTGTTTAATTATGCATAGCTATTAAAGTCTCAAACGTAAGTCATGAAAGGTAGATCCCTATCTGTCATACAAGTCACATAATGCTTTGCCAGCTTGGGATATACCATTTGCAGTGCACTGAGCAGTGTTAAATACAACCTGCAAGGACGGGTAAATGGCTGTATGTTTGAATGTAAGCATGTTTTTGTACAGAGTATGTGTGTGAATGTAATGTGTATTTGTTTGTACTGTTGGCTATTTGAATGTAATTGTGTGTTTTAGGTAGTACTGGCATTTGAAAGCAGTGGTGGACTTGTGTGTAGTATTTGCTTTTGAATGTAGGGGTGTGTTTGTATGTAGTGTTGGCATTGAAATGCAGGAGTGCATGTGTGTAGTGCTGTTTTTTGAATGCAAGGTTGTGTTTATATATAATGTTGGTGTTATAATACATAGGTGTATTTGTATGTAGTGTTAGCATTTGAATGCTAAGATGACTCATAAATCAGAATTTCGTCCAATCACCAAATCTGCAAAAATTGGCTAATTCAGTTCAGTCAGAAACAAATCTCCAATTCTTTGTGCTATTGCCTTGGATTCAAGCTGTTTAAGTACAGCAACCCATCTTTAGATTCAAGGCTTTAGAAGTTCACAATGTACAATCACATCGACCCTGGTCCACAGAGGTGCTAATTCAATTCTGTTTTCATTCAATAGACTGTACTTTTGAATGTCATTACTTGTTAATGAGGTACTTTCCCCATAGAATTCTGTTCCAAATTTAGAATTGATGACTTAGATACATAACAGAAAAAATACATCAATGAAGGAGAGAAAGATTACATTTTATATTAACCAAAGAATTGACAGTGAGGTGATGTTTTACAAGAAACACACCACAACTGTACTGTCTGATAATGACAGCAGCAAAAAATGTTTAGTTTTTTAATATCCCTTTATTAATGTTACATCATTTTTCTGACTGTTAGTGTAAACAACAGCTTTATTTTCTTTATATTTCCTTCACAATATTCTCTCACTGCAAAATCTTAATTTCCTACATTACTTGTGAACATTTGCTTTGTGTGCCTTTCAACATTTTTTTTTAAATTAATAGAATATATTCAAAAGATTTATGCCATTTGAAAATGAAAAGCTAGATGCAGCTGTTAACAGCTGTTTCTGATTCTCCTCAGGAATTCTGTATTAAAGCTGATATTTATGCCATTATGAAAGATAGATCTTAAGTTCTCTAATGTCAATGTTAAAGTGAGGGAAAGGCTATAAAATATAGTCAAAATAGAGCAATCATTTTCTAAATAGCAGGAAGTTATGACAAATACTAACATTGCATATGATTTATTAGTCACATATATATATATATATATATATATATATATATATATATATATATATATTTAGGAATGTGACTCATTTAGAAAACGTTGATGTATGACAATAGGCAGCGCTGTATCAAGGTTTCTTGATATATAACTTTGACTTTAGTTAGCCATTGAGGCTTTTCATGTGTGATTGACTTTGTTAAATATTACAGGTTAAATGCACAACTGCAGGATGGTAGCAGCCCATTTCAGCCGTGTGGTTTACACATTTCATTTTACATTGTATGTCCAGACATAGAGCCAAAATAAACATGATAAAAAATGATTTAAGATAAATTAAAATAAGGTATTCATTTAGACTGAAAAATACATATGTATCAAGATAATTCCATTTTAAGAATTATGACAATATTATTTACTTTTAAAACATCTAAAACTATGGGCATATGCCGTGCAGTTATGAAGTATTCAGATCCACTCTATTAAAAAAAATAATAATAATTTTATGCTGCAGCCTCATGCAACATTGTTTACATTTTGTTTTCCCATTAGTCTACACTCAATACCACATAATGACAAAGTAAAACTAGAGGTTTTTTTTTTTAACTTTGCAAGTTTATTAAAAATGTAACAAATGAAACATCATATATTTGATATGACACTTAAATTCAGCTCAGATATTATATATTCTATACTTCTGTTTATAAAATATTTTACCAGAAAGGATACACTGGGATTTCTCTCATTTTCAAGTATGCACTGTGCCCACAAACACTGTATTATTACAGTTGGGTACAATATAATATTACAAAAAATAATATATATACACACACATATATAAATTAACACAGGTAATAAATATAGTCAGCCATAATTACAGGTGCACTCTATACTGAGATATGTTGCCATAGATCTCTTAAAAGATTTTAGATTGAATGAAGATTTGACTGAGTCTGTAAGATTATTTCATAATTGCGGTGCTCTGTAGGAAAATGAGGATTGAGCCACATTATTTTTGTATAGCGGTATGCAAAACAAAGTGCTTGTGACAAACTCTCCTTTTCAAGTGAATTTGCCACCAGTTCCTGGAGGAGCCCGCTTGCCAGCCTCCTGCCCACAGACTATGGGCCCTGCAGGGAAACCTGTAAAAGTTAAAATTAAAAAAAAAACTACCAAACTTGACCGACTGTTTGCACTGATTTCCCTGGAACTGTTTTGTGCATGGGGCTATGCTTGTTGTCGGTCAAAAGTATGACTTCCAGGAAATTCCTGAACCCCTGGGTGAATCTGGGTGATTTTTGGATATGTTTTTCACGCAGATCGGGGCTATCAGGGGATGTGACTTTTACGGGGATATGTTGGATTTTGGGGTACTTTCTGAAATTTTTGAAAATGTGTTTTTCTGCCTGGAGATAATGGAGTTACTTACAGGACTTTACTCAATTATCTCCTAAGCAGAGGGGAGGGATTGTGTGCTGTACATGGGCATGTCACAGACTGTATGTTTGCTCTGATTGGTTTATGTCCTTTGTGTTCCTGTGCCCCATCAGGTCCAGGTGGTGTTCCTCTGGCCTGGAACATTGTATAAAAGGCCAGTGTGTCCCATTAAACTAGAGATTCCTGCTTATACTTCAAAACTGTTTGTCATCCAGTTCTTGGAAGGAAAGAAGATTTCCTCCTGTATCTGCTGTTCCAGCTTGCAGGAGATTCAACGGGGAAAGTCCTTGTAAGGACTAGAGCTAATTCCCCATTTGGTTCCAGAGTTAACCGGACTGAGTGTCGTCCAGTGCCTGGAGGTGTCAGAGCTATTTTCCCTTCAGATCCAGGAAGGAGGAGGCAGTTCCAGGGCCTCAGTCAAGCAACGGTGACTGAGGGCAAGAAGTGCTGCAGTTTGTCCCTGTTCCAGCTAGGAAGTGGCCCTTTGGCGGAGGTACCCAGTCCGGGTGCCAGGTGATCAGTTACATTGGTGGCAAGTGGCGGGATGGCTTCCTAGCCTTGGGAAAACCAGCACTACTACAGAGATGGAAGGCATGTACCATCGAGCAGTATCCCAGTTTGATGCCAGGCTTCAGCAGCGACTACAGGATTAGCAGTATGGAGTACCCTATCACAGAGTAAAGAGAGACAGAGTGGAGGGTGGTGCTTCGAAGTGATCTCTGGAAGGAGGACATCAACGAAATTCAACCCTTCCGGTGTGAAGAAATCCTGACCACCAACCAGCGCCAAGCGGAACAGCTAGAGCTGCGGATGACGTTATTGGTTAACCAGCCCTCAGAATGGGTAAGCGAACTGGAAACGCTTGTTGAGACCGAGGTGTGGCTAGATGAGTCATACAGGGCCATGCGGTGGCATGCATACTTTATCTACCTGGGGCAGGTCAGTCTCAAATGCATCGAGGGAGAAGACTACGATGTCCCTGGTCTTTTGTGGGAGTTTTTTTCCCACTTCTGGTACATAAGAGATGAGCGGGAGGACAGCTTGGGCCTTATGGAAATAGCGGAAATGCAACCGGATCTGACTTTTCTGGCTAACTTGGAGTGGGAGCTCGAGCAGGAATACGCTCGCCTATTTAACCGAGTAACACTACCTGTCTCTGACATGATGGAGCTTATGGACTGTACACCACCGGAAGCATTGAGTTTCATCCCTCCTCCCCAGCAAATAAGTCAGGAGACCTGGGTACTGTACCACCTACTTCCCAACCAGCCCCAGAGATGAGAAAGCACTGAACTTTGTGGTTATTTTGAAAATAATGAGCCTGGGATTGATCTATGTTCGGTAGATAGACCTACCAAATAAAGGGGACAAATAACTTGGGCTTAGAAGAATAATAGGGTTTCCAGTTCGTTTGTCACAGTCAAATATTCTGATCGATCCAATACATATGATCAAAACCAGGTTAGCAGACGATCACCAATATCTTTTAAGTGTTTGCAAAAAATGCCATGACTTAGGACGCTGAGTGGGCGGAGCGTCCGGCATGCTTGCTTCCAAGGGAGAGAATGTGTCTTTCCCAGATCACTCCGATGAGGCGAGGTTGTGTTGATAGAGCTGGCAATACCGGTCACTTCAGAGGATTCAGAGGAGAGAAATTGAAACAATACATTACCGAGCACACGAGGCAACTAGCCGGGTGATATGTGGAAGCGAATACACTTTGAAGCCAGTGCCATGACTATCCAGCCAGACAGATTAGCACACGTGGGAGAGACATGGGAGCTGGAGCCTCGCAGTAAAATATATTATCTGAATACCTAAAACACAGATTTATTCATTCTATCTAGCTCAGTAAAAACAAGTAATTTATATACTGTTAAGTGGGTGAAGTCTGAGAGCTGGAAACTCACGGTTTAACAAAATACTTTCTTTTTCTTTTTTCACCTTGTTCAGCTATGCAAAAACAGGCAATTCATATATTGGGAAGTATATAGTATATATGAAATTTAGAGATAAAAGATAAAACTATCATATTAATTGAAAAAAATATGCTAAACTATGTTTAAGTTCCTGTGAACATAAACTACTCAAGCTACAGGGAGCTGATATGCAATGTGCATTGAAATATGAATTCAAATATCTTGCTGGAAGTTATGGACATTTAAGTTGTTTCTAGTTAATGTATATCATCTAATATACGAGCTTGATGAATTTTGGCTGTGTGCAAAATAAGTCTCCTATCTTTGAAGAGCTGATATAGGGCTCAATGAGAAGATAAGTAATTTATTTAACCCATTTATTCCTGCTCATTTGTACGTAAATTGGGTCTTCCAAACATAAAGAACTGCCTTATAAAGCGTTTAAAGGACCACTATAGTGCCAGGAAAACATACTTGTTTTCCTGGCCCTATAGTGCCCTGAGGGTGCCCCCACCCTCAGGGTCCCCCTCCCGCCCGGCTCTGGAAGGGGGAAAGGGGTTAAAACTTACCTTTTTCCAGCGCTGGGCGGGGAGCTCTCCTCCTCCGATCCTCCTCTTCTCCCCCATGCGGCTGAATGCGCACGCGTGGCAAGAGCTGCGCGCACATTCAGCCGGTCACATAGGAAAGCATTCATAATACTTTCATATGGACGCTTGCGTGCTCTCACTGTGAAAATCACAGTGAGAAGCACGCAAGCGCCTCTAGTGGCTGTCAATGAAACAGCCACTAGAGGAAATAGGGGAAGGCTTAACCCATTCATAAACATAGCAGTTTCTATGAAACTGTTATGTTTATGAAAAAATGGGTTAACCCTAGCTGGACCTGGCACCTAGACTACTTCATTAAGCTGAAGTGGTCTGGGTGCCTAGAGTGGTCCTTTAAAGCGAAGACTGCTTACTTGATTCTGCTGAGTTACATTGAAAAACCACTATAGAATAAGGAACTGCTATTCATAGCGCTCGAAGTGAGGAGAAGCTATCATATATGGGACAAAATTTAAAACTATAAAGGGAGTTAAATCTCCATAACAAGGACATTATTTTATTTATATATTTTTTTCTCTTTCTCTTTTATTTTTTCACTTTTTCCTCGATATCTTAAACAAATGTAATCTGTTGAAAAAATATATTTAAATCCCTGTGGAAAGAATCCTAAAGGTAAATAAAACAAAGAAAAATTTCCCCACAGTTAAACGGAGAGAGAGCAGACTGAGAGGTAAAAGAAGGAGTAATTTCTAAGCTGATTTTGAAGAACGCTACCCTTGACAAGGGACAGACAGGGCGAAGATAAATATTAGATGAAAACACTATGGTGAAAAAAAAAAAACTACTGAGTTAAAACCATTCTCAAAAGAAGAGAATCCCCCCAAAAATGAAAGAAGACTTTCTACTTTTTTCCATTTTCCTAAACCAACCGTGTCAAAATCTAAGTTACCAATGGCAGAATCAAATACCTCTAACAATACAGATATTAATGATTCCAACGAAACTGAAGTCCCAAAATATCAAGTGCAAAATTAATAGACTCTCAATATGTAACGCAAGAGTATATTAAACAATGTCTGGAAATGCAGTTAAGTCAAATCAAGGACGAACTTAAAATCCACATGGGTGACCTATAACAGGAAATGATTAAAATGAATGAAAGAATCAAAGAAAATGAACATAAAATAGAAGCATTACAATTTGAAACACCAGAACAAAAAAAACAGATTTAGTGAATTTGAAAAAAAAATAAGTACATTGGAGGCACAAATTACGGATGCAGAAGACAGAGCAAGAAGAAAAAACGTAAAAATAAGGGGAATTGCTGAAAAGGTGGATACGGAAAAAATCAGACCCTACCTATTTGCACTTTTTAAAGACATGAAGCTTCAAGAGGCTCAAGGCAAAGATATAATAGAGTCCATAGACTCGCAAAACCCAGCTATCTTCCAGAAGAAGTACCACAGGATATCATTATAAGATTCAACTCATTCTATATAAAACAAAAAATTCTAACTGCCGCAAGAAATTTTCATACTGAGGAAAGGAAATTTCAAAACCTACACTTCTATCAAGATCTCTCTATTAGGACTCGACAAGAAGTGAATTTCAATCAACACTGGATGCCCTTAGATTGAAGAACATAAAATATCGGTGGGGATTTCCCACTAAACTACTCCTCATGTACGAAGGGAAAAATTTGACACCAAGTGCAGGAATGGATGAATAAATCTTTAAAAAATACTGAAGAAGAAAGCTCTAGACCAACAGCAGAGGGACTGAACAGTCAGATATGAACATACTGTAATGAAAGATGCTAAGGGGGGAAGGATGATTAGCAGATTAAATGTCTCTATAAGTGAATTCAATTAGATAGAGTAGAGATAAAAAGGGGAGAGAGAAGGGGTAAGGGATATATACCTAGAGATATTGTAAACTCTGAATAAAGGGAGGGAATATAAATTACAGGTACTCACACCACATATTTAAATCCCCTTGATATAGAGGAGAATAAGGGTTTAAAACACTCACTATTTTATGTTTATATAATATATAAAACTCTTAAAGAGCCTTAGATGGCTTGGAAATAGAGGAATAAAAGGATGCCACTATGTCACTTATAAGAAAGTAATATAACACGCAAATAAAGAATGACAAAAACTTAAAAAAAAACAAAAAACTTCTAAATCCACAATATAACACTTTGATTCTAGAAGATGAAAGGATAGGAAATGGTGATAATGCAAAAGGAGTATATTATCTTACGACTGTACAATATTTGATTATAATATAGGAAGGTGTGAATACGTGACACAGAATATGGGGATATATTGGAATTAATTTATGTCCTCCTACAACGTATTGCAATATGGTATCCCTAAAATAGAAGGGGTATAATAAGGTAGACAATATGGCTTATAATTTAATTAGTTTATTAATATTGGCACAAAGAGGAATGATAATAGTCACTTTGCTAATTCTTTAACATATTGTCTTTGTATATTTATTTATTTATTTTTTAATTCTTTATTTTGGTGTGCAAAGAGATTACAAACACGTCTGTACTGCTACAACAGCAGGTACCGGCGATTTTGGGTTAGTAGACATAGATTAAGACTGCACAATTTTTATATAGTATTCATGCTTGACTCTTGGTTAAATAGTGGTTACATCTGTAAGCAGGCAACAGAAATCATAAACGACTGGCATATATAAACTGACATCAAGGTTAAGTATTATGAAACAATGTTGTACATACATATGCTTAGCTGTCTGCTGTAAGCGTCTTTGCCCTAGAGCTTGCTGGTATAACAAACTAGGTTGCGATCCATGCTATGTGTGATGTGTACGTCTAGCTTTTGTGGATTGCTTGTATGTAGTGTTGATCAGCGTGTCTGGTTAAGCTTAGTAATAGACAGTGTAAGGGCAAGAGTGGAGTACATATAATTAAAATCAGATGGAGCAGACTTAGATTTCCCGTCTTGTTCTACAAATTCTTTTGAAGTATAGTGGTAACTCTAGACCGGTTAGGTACTGTCCGTAGTGTGCTAAATTGGGCTAACATGCTAGATAAATTGTCGATAAAACATGCAACAACTGGTGCGTAGTGTTATTTAAACCGGTCGCCTAGTGACAGGTGGGATGGAGTAGGGCACTACAAGTCAACGGTTTCTCATGCTAGTCTCCCCCCCCCCCACCGCTCCCATTGTCTCGACAGATAATAGTGTAAGGCTTAATTATGTGGCATACACCCGGATAGAAAATATATAAATAATAAAAAAAGGAAAAACAATATGAAAAGCAGTGTGAGTCCACGGCAAGTGAGATGGCAGTTATCTGAGTCTTAGTGGGCTCTGGTTTTAGGCAACATGCCTGTTATGATACTAAAGTCACCAGTCAGCCGATTCCCAGCGTCGGTAGGTGCCTGGAGCGTGTCGAGAGATTGTGCAGTGTCTCCGGCGGGAGTGGTTGCACATGCTGGTATCCTGGTCCGCCATCGCCAGCTTTAGGTATCCTGTGTGTCTGCCTCTTAGCCGGGTTGTGCGGGTTCTCTAGCCCGAGTACTAGTGATTGGTCTGCCGGTCGGGTTTGGATCCGCAGTGGAGCAGGCCTTTGCAGGCTTCTAGGACTGGCCACCGCCGTGTGGGGCGAGTGAGTGTCTTATCTTGTTTCTCCTCTGGGCCTTAAGACCTCAGCGATGTTGCATGTAGTGTTTCAGCCTCTCGTGCTCGTTGGGCCACCGCCATGTTGCGGCCTGTCCTGCAGGTAAGGCCTTTAG